GGGACAGCTTTTGTAACCAAGGGCAGGCACAGAGCTGTGGTGCTGCAGCTCCTTTTTCACCCTGGCTTGGCACAGGTGACAATTGCCAAGTGTGTGGCACCCTCATGCTCTCTATTCATTGAAACACAGGTATGGCCAAGGTGGTGGCAACACCAGACCTGTCCGCTCACCTTTGCCGAATACAGGTGGGAAAGGCCACTTGGTTTTCGGTGGCTTGTGGCCACTAATGAGCACAGACACCACCTAGCTCGCTCCTGGCAAGTGAGCTGACACCACTCCTGCCGTGGCATCAGAGCAGCCTTATGCAAGTGTTAAAACAGTAGCAGAAAGCTGGGTGAGGGTCCCAACCTACCCTGTGAAGGTGTAGACCTCCAGAGCAAACTTCTGAAGGAGGGCAGTTTTGGTCGAGTTGGACAGGATCAAGACCACGTTCATGTGACCCGGCCTGAGCCGGACCAAGTTACTGTTGTAGTTGATGTCCGTCAGCTCCGTCACCTCCACAAAGCCCTTTTTGGGAATCCTGCTGCAACGAAACAGTGACTGAGTGAAAGGGGAACATGGGACCATGAGTAACCAAGGACAGAGAAACCATGAACCCAACCCCTTATGCCAAGCCATCCCTGAGCCCTGCAGCTAAAGCCAGTTTAATCAGGGCAACAGACCCAGACTTGGATCCTCAACAAGTCAGGCAGAGCTTCACCCTGACCACAGGGATGTTGTCTGGGCAAATGTGGTGGAATTGCTTAATAACTGAGTTTGTGCTCCCCTGTCCTTGCTGGCATGGGCAGAAAACAGTCGTGGAGAAATTAGAGAGGGAACCTGTTACTCTCTTTGCTGAAGCTCGCATCATTCTTCTCAGTCTTTGCTGCAGTTTCTTCTTTCTCCGAGGGAGGAGAGTCCCTTGTGTCGCTCGAATCGCTGCAGAGGAAGATGATCTTGAGTGTGTTTAAGGCACCAGATCGGACTGAGGTGCTCATGAATGGACTGTAAGATCCCTGAGGGCCTTTTGTTGTGCACTCACCTGAAAGCCTGAACAATAACAGTGCCAAAGAGGATGAAGAGTGCAGAGAAGAGCAAGGAGAGCAGCGGCATCATTTCTCGCCTGAGGGGAAGATGTGCAAACACCAATCAGGTCTGTGAGCAGCACAGCTTCTGCTTGCATTTCCTGTTCTACCTCAAGTAATACTGTGCAGTTTTCCCCAGAGCTCCAGCTTGTTTCCTAGGGTCTTAAAGACAAGCAAGATTTTGAGCTCTGTCCTGCTCCCACCCCAAAGGAGGATCAAAGTGGATCCATTTTAAAAGAAGGTGACAGGGAAGTGGTGAAGAAGAACAACGGATGCATCATGTCTGTGCTCACTCGGCCTTGAGGCTGAAGTACCCAGCATTCCAGGCAGAAGCTGATGTCACTGTGGCATCACTGCTCTTCATCTACATCCCTGTGTTTTGACGTGTTCCCAGTTTCTGTTACTAAGAACCTGCTTCTCCTATACATCTGAACCAGATACCCACAATCCCACTCCCTGTTGAGAGTTAACAGCCAGTTCGTACCAGTTACTGTGGAACAAACTATCCCAGCAGTCGGAGATATAGTCCAGTGTGGAGTAGAGCCATCGGATAAGGAACATCTGTTTAAGAAGAAAAAAAGAAAAAGCAAATGACAAACCCACTATCCAGAGCCCTGACAGGATTTGTGCCCCTCAAACAGAACCCAGGGCTGAACTGGCCCAGGTTGTGGGACAATCACGGCACACCACGGGCTTCCTTCCTTCCAGGAGCAGAAAAACCTGCAAGAGTCTTGCCTTGGTATATTAAAATCTACATAAAGACTGTGAATGACCATCAGGGGACCATGGAAAAGGGCAACATGGTTGTCAGGCAGCTGGAAAGGCCATGCACTTACGGGAGCAAGCTCATCGTTCAAGTCTGCCAGGACAGTCTCTGAAGAGAGGAGGTTGGGGTCTGTCCTCAGCTGGTCCAGAAGATCCAGGAGGATGAAGTTGTCCTCTTTGCTGCCTTGCCAGGCCTCCTCCAGGGTTTTATAGACCACTTTCCCTGCGTTATTCCTTCTCTCCAAAATGACCACCTGGATGAGGCAATAACACCAGAGGTGTCAGAGCAGAAGGGACTTACATCTAGACAGATGTTACGCTTCAAATCACTGCCCAGAATTAGGTGTCAGATCAAGGTATAGCATACTACATAAAGTGACATGACATGGAGCTGTTGGAGCAAGTCCAGAGGAGGCTACAAGGATGAGCAGGGGCTGGAGAACCTCCCATATGAAGACAGGCTGAGGACATTGGGGCTGTTGAGCCTGGAGAAGAGAAGCTACGTGAAGACATCAGAGCAGCTTCCAGTGTCTGAAGGGGGCTACAGGGATGCTGGAGAGGGACCTTCATCAGGACAAGGGGTGATGGGTTCAAACTGAAACAGGGGAAGTTCAGGCTGGATCTAAGGCAGAAGCTCTTCCCTGTGAGGGTGCTGAGGTGCAGACACAGGGTGCACAGAGAAGCTGTGGCTGCCCCATCCCTGGCAGTGTTCAAGGCCAGGTTTTTGGGCAACCTGCTCTAGTGGAAGATGTCGCTGCCCGTGGCAGGGGTTGGAACTGGAGGAGCTTAAGGTCCTTTCCAACCCAAACCATTCTATGATTCTATGACAGATGAAGGGAAAAAGAATCCAAGAGGAAACCCTCACAGCTGATTTTCCCCGATACTTCTCCTCATCCATCAGCAACGCGTCCGCAAATTCCGGCTGCCGATCATTGTAGATGTGCACAAACTTCAGTGTGTCTTTTGTGTTGGCCACAGCAAAAGCCAAAAATGCTTCATAAGCCTCAGCGAACTTCTCTCCTTCTCCAGTAAGCAGGACCACGCAGTGCCTAGACAATGCAAGGAGATGGAGGATTAGGAACCATTCTGGGTGTGAGGGGCAACAACTGCGCTCTTTCTGCTAGCTGGAGTGATCCCAATAAGCCAGAACCCCATCGAACAGTGTGGATGCTGAGAATGACCCAATGCAGCCGATCCCCTTCTCCCTCAGAATCAAACAACAGGAGGCTGTAGGAGCAGCCCCAGAGCCTCAGGGAACAAAAGAGGGGACACGTGCCACCTGCAGAGCCTTACTTCCGCTGACGGTGAGACTTCTTCACGGGACACAGCTCCTGGAACAGCCTCTGGTTGGTGAGCCTGGCCACCATGAGGAACTTATTCTGGGAAAGGAAGTCATCAATGAGCTGCTTCTTCATATCTCGTGCCTGGTGAGGACAGAGAAAGCAGAGATCAGAAATGAGCAGGATGAGGAGAGGAAAGCTCTTGCAATATTCCTGTCTAAGCCTGGGGAAGGCTGCCAGCCATCACAATCCTCACCGAAATCCCACCCCTGAGACATTTTGAGGCCCTGAGACTGAAAAGCTGCCTGTGGCCACCCTCCTCACAAGGTCAGACACCACAGCTGATGCCTGCTGAGCTTCCCCCCCTATATGGTTGCTTTCTGCCTCTGCCAAGGGATGAATTCATGCTGAGAACGAATGCTGTTCACTCTGAAATGCCCCACCAATAAACCTCTCCCTGCCTGCTCAGTCCGAAAACCTCAGCTCCATTTCACAGAAGCTCCTGGAGAGGGCTCTGTGCAATACCTGTACAACATCAGCGGGCTTGTCAATGTTCTCCTTGAAGATCATCATGGTGGGAGTGTAGACATTGATGTTGTACTGACTGGACAACTCTTCAGTGCCTCGGAGGCCAACATACACGTAACCAAAGGACAAGTAATCTCGGTAGGCAAAGGCAGTCAGCTGGATGGGAAGAAAGCACCAGTGCGTGTTTGTGTGAGACAGAAAAGGACATTTTCTCCCCCATTTGCCCACAGTGATTTTGCTTCAAGAACATCCCCCACTGTTTAAAAGGAAACAGGCTTTCCAGTCACCCAAATGAGACGTGCCATATGAAATGTCTTGGTACTAACAGAGGTTTGTACACACTTCTACTGCCACTGCCTCCAAAACCCATCCACACCTTGGCATCCACTAAAGGTGGCAGCACAGAGGAACAAACTCCAAATGAAGTCAGTCATCCAGCTGTGCTGTATTCAGGTGACACAAATCATCTCTCCTAGAGCCGCTCAGCAGTGTTTGGAGGCATCAGCCTGCCTCTGCTCACAGTGATGTTGCATTTTCTTTTGGGAGAGCTGGATTTATGAGCAAGTTAACAATGCAGCAATAGAAATCACATTACCTTGTACAATAATGGCACAACTGGCATGTGATCAAACAGAAGGACGTGGGGCTTGTTTTCTTTCTTCCAGTTGGAGAGAAAGCGGATGTAGTTCTTATCTGTAATCTTGAAACAGAACTGGAATGTTAGTTTAAGCTCTGAGCCATCAGACACACACAGTGCTCTGTGATGAGGTGTCCCAGAACTGAGCCCCAAAATACTGTCTGGGTGTTGCAGAAAGCAGACTGTGGGGGTCTCTTTCCAACAGGTACGCCTGACACATGCTTCTTGATGCAGGAGACTAATTAAAACCAGCAGCCTTGACTCCCTGCTGACCCTCTTTGTCATTGCACCTCTGTCAATGCCATTTCTAGATCACTGTCATTCTCCTAACTCTTTGTTGGGGCTATAGGCTTTATATTTAGAGGAAAGCCAAGAGTTAGCAGGCACCTGTGAGCTCCACCAAACCTGCTCTGTTTCAGCCATGGTACCTCTCTGACCTAGAGGAAGGAAGGAGAGAAAAGGAAGATCACAGCTTCTTGAGGGACCTGCAGGGAGAGGAGCAGGCTGCTGCTGTTGGTGATGGCTGTGGGAGGGGACATGAACAAGATGGGGCAAAACTTCCGATACCCAGAGGACAGCAAGGCAAGACTCTGTTGGAGGGCAGCCCTTGGGTGTTTTCCCAAGGGAAAATGAGGCTCCAAGCAGAGGACAGAGAGGTGAGTGCTCCACGAGCTGACCCAGCCACAGCATGCTGAAAGTGGAGGTGGGTAAGACCAGAGCTAGCTGGATGAAACCCTGACAAAGAAGGGAAGTGAAATCCAGTAGGCTGGAAGGGCATGACTGTGGATTCCTAGCCTAAGGAGAGCTTTCCTATGGCTCTGGCAGCCATGGGGCACAACAGCTGGGCAAGCAGCCG